CTCTGTTTCAGGTTTTTGGGGGAGCCCGCCATGCATCTTCAGCTTCGCTGTTGGTGCTTCCGTGGAGTAGCCCGCACACCCACGCCGAGGGCGGGCGGGCGGTCATGGGATCGATGATCTTCGGAACGGCGGCCAGGCAGCACTTTTGGTGGGAGCCCAGGGCGCCGCAGACTCGGGCGGGGGCGGCACGGCCCGAGGCCGCTGGCCAGCAGGGGCTCGGGCGGCCCACTGCGTCCAGGTGCGCCTGGCGGGCGCCCCTGGCCTCGCTCCCTCCCCTCCTCCTCCTCCTCCTCCTCCTCCTCCTCCTCCTCCTCCTCCTCCCCTCTGCCTGCTGCCTTGGCCCGGCCCCCCTCCTGCCTGCCCGCCCGCCCGCCCCGCCGGCCCCGGCCTCCCGCCTGCGCGCTCGTCGTCGTCTGCGTGCGTGGCCCTTCCTTTTCCCCCGTCGTCGGACAGGCACAGCCTGTCCGGGCCCCGCGTGGCGGGCGGGGCGCAGGGCTCCGGCCTGCAGGGCCGAGGCAGAGACGTCTTTCTCGCTGGCCTGGCCTCGCTGGCGCCGCTGGCGCTGCGAGGGGTCCCCTGGCCTCGCTGCCGCCGCTGGCGCTGGCAGGCAGCCGCTGGCTCAAGGCGCGCCCGTCTCGCCGCAGCTGCGGCGGGGCGCCACGGGCGAAGGTTGGCGGCGCCGTTGGCGGGGGGCCTCTGGCGGGGGGCCGCCGGCGCGGGCGGGCGGCGTGCCCCTGCAGCGGTCTTGGGCCGTCCAAGAGTTCACGCAGCACCCCGCAGCTTCGCAGCTGAGGGCAAGACGGAGGGGGCGGGCGCGGGGTGGGGCGCGCAGGCGTCGCGGGCGGGTCGCGGGGTGGGTCGCGGGGTGGGTCGCGGGTGGGTCACGGGCGGGTCGCGGGCGAGGACGGCGACAACGCAACGGCAAGAGCATTGCAAGCAGAATCCGCTGGACGGAACGCCACTTCTGCCACGCACCCAGGCACAGTGAATGACCGTCCGGCCCCTTCACTCTGCTTCCGTTTCGTCCCCGAGAGAGTCTACAGTTCCTGAACTTGCATCCTTGGTGGGGGGGCTCCCGCCTCTCAAATGGGAATGGGGTGCCCAGGGGCATGCACGGCGCCTCGTGGGGTGCTCGCGCCGGCGCGCGTGCCTGGCTGGAGCCAGTCAGCAGTGTGCCGGTGGGGCAGGCAGGGCTGGCAGACCAGCCGCGCGCAGGCCGTCAGAGATCGCCGGAGGCGCAGCCCGGGGCGGCCGCAGCCACTTCGCTTGGCAGTGCTGGTGATCGTCCCGATGACGCGTCCCCTCGCCCCGTGTAGCACGTAGGTTCCCCCTCCTCCTCCTCCTCCTCCTCCTCCTCCTCCTGCTCCTCCTCCTCCTCCTCCTCCTCCTCGTGCTCCTCCTCCTCCTCCTCGTGCTCCTCCTCCTCCTCCTCCTCCTGCTCCTCCTCCTCCTCCTCCTCCTCCTCCTCCTCCTCCTCCTCCTCTGCTTCAAGCCAAGAGACCTCGGCTGCAGGGCCGCCAGCCAGAGGCGCCCCAGCAGCAGGGGAGCCTTCGTCATGCGAGGGGAGCTGCGGGGACAGCCTCGGTATGCAGGCAGCAGCGCGGCAGAGCCGGCGGGCCCAGGAGGAGCCGCGTGCACCGCAAGGCCACGCAGGCAGGAGGCCCTCCGACAGCCCTTGCCGCCAGCCCAGGGGCCCGAGGAGCACGGAGGAAACCGCCAGGCGGCGCGCCGAGAGAGAGGCCGTCGATCAAGCTCCTCGGCTGGCGGGACGCCAACGGCGTGAAGGGGAGCCGCCGAGAGGCAGCGGCGGACGAACGCGGCCGCGCCACCACGCCCACCTCGGCTGCCGCTCGGCAGTTGAGGGACGGACGGCGAAGCGCGCAGCGGCTGACGTGCTCCTTGGTTTTGACATTCCACCTCCTCCTTGTCCTCCTCCTCCTCCTCTTCCTCCTCCACTTCCTCCTCCACTTCCTCCTCCTCCTCCTCCTCCTCCTCCTCCTCCTCCTCCTCCTCCTCCTCCCCCTCCTTCCCCCACCATCCCCCTTTTTCGCACCTCACCCCGTGTTCACTGACATGCCCATCCTCCTCCTCCGTCTCCTCACCCTCGTCGTCGCCGTGGTCGCGCCGACGTCATCGTTCCCAGGCCTCCACCGTCGTGGATCCCCGACGGCGCGGGCCACCGCAGCTGTCGATCCCACCCCCCGCACCAGTGTTTCGCCGTTGGCTTTGCCTCTTGGTATACACGGCGTGGCCAGCCTGGGCAGGAGCCGGATGCACACGGGGGCCACGTGTCTTTCCAGCCTTCGGCCCTCGCTCCGCGTGTGCATCCAGCAGGTGGACTCCAGATGTTCCACACGCGTATGTTTCCAGTTTCCTGGTACAGGGCAGGTTTTACTACATATGACTTTTAATGTATAGGATTTTACCTAACAGCGAAGACTGATAGGTTTCTAGTGGTGTCAAAAGAGAGCATCTGATGACTCAAAAGGGAGGTCTGGGCGGCATCCGGACAGCGAGGGCCGGGCTCAGGGCAGGACTCGTTTTAAGCAAACAGTCACACACTTCGTGCTCTTCGACCTCCCAGAACTCCATTCCCGGGCCACATTTTGAATGCCCGGAGCCAACTGTAGGCCACTTCGTGCTCTTCGACTTCCCAGAACTCCATTCCCGGGCCACATTTTGAATGCCCGGGGCCAGCTGTAGGGCACTTCGTGTTCTTCGAGTTCCCAGAATTCAATTCCCGGGCCACATTTTGAATGCCCGGAGCCAACTGTAGGCCACTTCGTGCTCTTAGATTTCCCAGAACACCATTCCCGGGCCACATCTTGAATGCCCGGAGCCAAAGGTAGGGCATTTCGTGTTTTTCGAGTTCCCAGAACTCCATTCCGGGCCACATTTTGAATGCCCGGAGCCAACTGTAGGCCACTTCGTGCTCTTCGACTTCCCAGAACTCCATTCCTGGGCATGATTTTGAATGCCCGGGGCCAGCTGTAGGGCACTTCGTGTTCTTCGAGTTCCCAGAATTCAATTCCCGGGCCACATTTTGAATGCTGAGGCAGGCTGAGGCTGAGGCTGAGGCAGGCTGAGGCTGAGGCAGGCTGAGGCTGAGGCCGAGGCTGAAGCCGAGAGGCTGAGGCTGAGGCTGAGGCAGGAGGAGGCTGAGGCTGAGGCTGAGGCTGGCTGATGCTGAGGCAGGCTGAGGCTGAGGCTGAGGCTGAGCAGGCTGAGGCTGAGGCAGGCTGAGGCTGAGGCCGAGGCTGAAGGCAGACTGAGGCTGAGGCTGAAGCTGAGGCTGAGGCTGCTGAGGCTGAGGCAGGCTGATGCTGAGGCAGGCTGAGGCTGAGGCTGAGGCTGATGCAGGCTGAGGCTGAGGCTGAGGCTGAGGCTGAGGCTGAGGCTGAGGCAGGCTGATGCTGAGGCAGGCTGAGGCTGAGGCTGAGGCTGAGGCTGATGCAGGCTGAGGCTGAGGCAGGCTGAGGCTGAGGCCGAGGCTGAAGGCAGACTGAGGCTGAGGCTGAAGCAGGCTGAGGCTGAGGCTGAGGCAGGCTGAGGCTGAGGCTGAGGCAGGCTGATGCTGAGGCAGGCTGAGGCTGAGGCTGAGGCTGATGCAGGCTGAGGCTGAGGCAGGCTGAGGCTGAGGCTGAGGAGGCTGAGGCTGAGGCAGACTGAGGCTGAGGCTGAAGCAGGCTGAGGCTGAGGCTGAGGCAGGCTGAGGCTGAGGCTGAGGCAGGCTGATGCTGAGGCAGGCTGAGGCTGAGGCTGAGGCTGATGCAGGCTGAGGCTGAGGCAGGCTGAGGCTGAGGCCGAGGCTGAAGGCAGACTGAGGCTGAGGCTGAAGCAGGCTGAGGCTGAGGCTGAGGCAGGCTGAGGCTGAGGCTGAGGCAGGCTGATGCTGAGGCAGGCTGAGGCTGAGGCTGAGGCTGATGCAGGCTGAGGCTGAGGCAGGCTGAGGCTGAGGCCGAGGCTGAAGGCAGACTGAGGCTGAGGCTGAAGCAGGCTGAGGCTGAGGCTGAGGCAGGCTGAGGCTGAGGCTGAGGCAGGCTGAGGCTGAGGGCTGAGGCTGAGGCTGAGGCTGAGCAGGCTGAGGCTGAGGCTGAGGCTGAGGCTGAGGCTGAGAGAGGCTGAGGCTGAGGCTGAGGCTGAGGCTGAGGCTGAGGCAGGCTGAGGCTGAGGCAGGCTGAGGCTGAGGCTGAGGTGAGGCTGAGGCTGAGGCTGAGGCAGGCTGAGGCTGAGGCAGGCTGATGCTGAGGCAGGCTGAGGCTGAGGCTGAGGCTGATGCAGGCTGAGGCTGAGGCAGGCTGAGGCTGAGGCCGAGGCTGAAGGCAGACTGAGGCTGAGGCTGAAGCAGGCTGAGGCTGAGGCTGAGGCAGGCTGAGGCTGAGGCTGAGGCAGGCTGAGGCTGAGGCTGTGACTGCGACTGCCGTTGCCGCTGCGACTGTCATCGCGAATGCGACTACGACTGCGAGAACAGCAGAATTCTACAACTGGGTTCTCATTTGAATCTTAAGGGGAATGCTTCCAGATATGCTCCTACACATCGCTGTTAGGTTGCTTTGCCGGGATAATTTCATACATGATCAGTTTATGAAATAAATGAATGCATGAACTCATCGCTGTTTTTAGTACTAAATCCCTGCGTTTTTAATACATGATCCGCACGCGGAGCATTTGAGGGAACTCAGAGCTCGACGACAAATGTGTCCGTCGATTTCTGATAGCAAGATTTCTTATCGTATGCGCCCATTGTATTGCCACAGCGCGCATACAAATCTGGCCGTCTCGATGGTTGTCGCGCCCGGAGGCCTAGAGCGCCGTCGGCGCCGCCGCAGTCGTCGTTCTTGGGGTCGCCGTCGGCGTCGGCAGCGGCAGCGGCGTCGGCGTCGGAGGCGTCCTCGGCGTCGGCGTTGGCGTGCTTGCCCTCGTCGTGGTGGTCGGCGCCGGCCCCGGCGTCGGCATCGTCGGCGTCGTCGGCGGCGGCGGCGCCGCCGCCGTGCGGCGAGGCGCCTCGGCGCCTTCCGCGGCTGCCGCCAGGCCCAAGGCGCCACAGGGGTGGGCCGGGGCCTGGGCTCCGTTCTGGCCCCAGCGCGCCCCCATCCCTCGGAGACTCTGGTCAGAGCGCACCCTTGGAGAGGCCAGGGGAGGGCATGGAGGAAGTAGGAGTGTTCCTCCTTCTCCTCCTCCTCCTCCTCCTCCTCCTCCCCCTCCTCCTCCTCCTCCTCCTCCTCCTCCTCCTCCTCCTCCTTCCGTTTTTCCTCCTCTTCCTCCTGTTTTTCCTCCTTTTCCTCCTCCTCCTCCTCCTCCTCCTCCTCCTCCTCCTCCTCCTCCTCGTAAGGCCCCACTCCTAACAGATAGCTCCTCCCTGTCGCACCAGCAGACGTGTCGTCAGGGCGGGCTGGGCGTTTCGTATGACACTTCCTCACTCTTAGCGGTTCTGGAAATTGAAGCTTCCAAGAACTACTTCACGGATGGAGAGCGAGCCGTTTTCAACATCGGGTTCTCCCATTAGCTTTCGCACGATCGCCTTCAGCACTCCCAATACACACATGGACGACGAGCGTTTTTTTTTCAAAATGGGGCTCTCGCGCAGACGACGTGCACACTGGCCCGCAGATCAGCGGATGGAGAGCGAGTCCTTTAAAATTGGGTCCTTGCCTTGGCGCCGCGACCACTCGACTTCAACAACCCAACAGTTGCACGGATGGGTTGCAGTTCCTTTGCGAAATGAGGCTCTCGTTTTGGCAAGCTCGTCTTAAAACGTTCAACATCAGCACGGGAGGACGGCCCTTTTTAAAAGTGCCGTTTTTCCCTTGCATGCGAATGCTTTTTTTAGAGGGCCTGGCGATAATCGGGTTGTCCGGCCAGCCCTCCCCTTCTTTCTGGACAACCTGACTTTGTCGGGTGCGCAGGTTCGCCAGAAGGGGGCGGGGGCCCAGAGAGCCAGTCTCCTCCATGGGGTATCCCAGGTTATCGCCGAAACCTGAAACACATTCTCTTACCACAGGTGCACAGCTGTGCAGCAACTACCTGTAGGGAGGGCGGTTCTTATAACAAAAAACAAAGCCCCACTGAACTTGCGCGCCGGAAGGCGAGAGGGGGTTCTGAGACGGCCCCTGCTCCAGCTTGGCGCGGAGTCTGGGCGAGGGGGTGAAGGCGGCCCCGCGGCCCCAGAGGGTCGAAAGAGACGCCGAGGAGGGCCCAAGAAGGCCACTATAAAGGGCCCGAGGAGGCGCGGAGGACGGCCCAAAAGAGGGCCCCCGAAGGCGTCGAGAACGGCGGAGCGAGCCGAAGACATGCGAAGGGCCAGAAAGGAGCACTCCCATTGGTTTTTGGGGCCTCAGAGGGCTCTCCAGGGCCCCCCCGGGCGCGGCGAAGACGGCCTCAGAAGGCTCCGAGAGGGCGGCCAGACGGCCGAAGTGGGTCCGGGAGACCTCCAGGACGGCTCGGGAGGCCTTGTAGAGAATCCAACGTGACCGGCGAGGCCCCGAGAGTGGCGCAAGATGTTGCAAGAGAGCTCCAAGAGGCGCAAACAGGGGGCCGAAACGGCGAAAATGATCAAAATCCTTGCGGTTTTTGAAGGTTCTTGGCTTCTCAGTTTTTTGCCTGAGCATGCCTCGAAGAGGGCTTCGGAGGGATCCGAGACGGCCTCGGAGGGCCCGAAAGAGGGGCCAGAGGAACCCAAGAGGGCTCCAAGAGGCTCCGAAGACTGCCCCGGAGGGCGTCCGGGGAGGTCCCAAACGGCGCCCATGAGACGTTCGGAAGTCTCTCGTGCGAAGGCCTGCTTGAGTTGTCTCATGCCTTAGTGAATCGCTTCGCTCATTCCGCCGGCCCATCTTGCGTCACTGGGGCTATATGTTTGTGTGATCGTGGCGATCGAGGAGGAGTGGGAGGAGGAGGAGGAGGAGGAGGAGGAGGAGGAGGAGGAGGAGGAGGAGGAGGAGGAGGAGGAGGAGGAGAGGAGGAGGAGGTGGAGGAGGAGGAGGAGGAGGAGGAGGAGGAGGAAGAGGGGGGAGGAGGATGAGGAGGCCTCCCGATGGCTTCTTGTGGCATTATGTGGCCAAACTTGGTCGTGGACAAGACGCCGCTTGGTCGTGGGCCGTCTGGGAGCCGTCTTGGGTGTCTCGGACCGATTGTGCCATCGCTAGCGTTTGGGGGCCTCTTTGGTGGCTCCGGGGGGACTCTTGGGGGCCTCTTGTGGGGTTCTCTTGGGGGCTCTAAGCAACCTCTTGGAGCCTCTTGGAGGGCTCGTGGGGGCTTCCTCGGGCCTCCTGGGCGCCTCTTGGGGCCGAGGGCTCGAAATAACCGTTCGAGTTCCCCGTCTGACCCCCTCTTGGGCCCGTCCTGGGGATATCTTGGGCTGTCTTGCAGGCCTCTTGGGCCGGGCCCGAAATGTCCGTTCGGGTTCCCCGTCTGGCCTCCTCTTGGGGCCGTCCTGGGGACATCTTGAGCCGTCTTGGAGGCCTCTTGGGCCGTCTTGGGGCCCTCTTGGCCCCCCCTGGGGCTCTCTTGGAGGCCTCTCGGGGCGATATTTGGGGCCTCTTGGGCCGTCTTGAAGCGCCCTGAAGCCGAACAGATGAGAACGGCAAAATCTGTAAAAAACCGACTGGGAATCGATGGTTTTTGCTTCTCGGAGCCCTCTTGAGACGCTTCTTCGAGGCCTCTTTGGGCGTCTTGGACCGATCGGTCGGCGACCCAGAGCCCTCTTGGACCGTCTTGGGGAGTCTTGGGGCCCTCCAGGAGCGCTCGGGGGCGCCTGAAAGCCGCGCGCAGAAGGAACACCCATCTCTGAACAGGACCGGCCGGGGTATTTTTCGACCGGGGACCCCCAGGAGCCGCTCCGCGCGCGCGAATTAGAATTATTGTTTACGGTCAACCCGCATAAGAAGGCTTCGAAATGGGCGCCCAAGGCGCTTGCATCCTTATCGCACATCTTTACTATACTGGTTGACTGTGCCAGCAGCCGGAGATCTTAGCACGCCTCTGGCTCGCTGGACCTTGACCGGCGAACATGGTTCGAAGGACGGAGGGCGGTTGCTTCGAGCGCGGAACTCCCGCCGTCGCTGCCGGCGCTCGTCGTTCAAAGGGGGGGGGCTTCGCGCGGGGAAGGCGAACGCTTGGCAGGGATTCGTGGGGAGGGAGCTGGGGACAAGAGGATGTGCTGCGGCATTGTTGGTGCACCTAGGTCGGGGTGCAGCTCCTCGGAGATTTTACTCAGCATCGGCGCTGGTACATGGTCCGCGACTGTCCCGCTGAATTTCGCTTCACCCCTGTTAATTCGGTGCTTCATCCGGGGCTTGATCCAAGCCGATCCGGCTAAACGGCTTACTAATGCGCCCTATTAGTTTTTCATCGTTCATTCGAAGATCTCGTAGGAATTCTTCACGCTTCGCGTATCCCCACCAGCCCATCTCACAGCAGCAACTCTTGCGAAGCATGCCGACAGTCGTGTTTTTCAGGCGTGTGTCCGCTTGGCCCCGCATATCTCCCCTGTTCCTCCTTCCTCCCGCCTCCTTGTACATCCTCCTTGTGGGAGGAGCGGGAGAAGGACGAGGCGGAGGAGGAGGGAGAGAAAGCGCTCCTCGTGACTTGAGTCGTTTGGGGTTTCTCGTCCTGGTGTGAGTCGTTCGGGCCCTTCTTCCTGGTGTGAGTCGTTCGGGCTCTTCGTGGTGTGAGTCGTTCGGGCTCTTCGTCCTGGTGTGAGTCGTTCGGGCTTCTCGTGGTGTGAGTTGTTCGGGCCCCTCATCCTGGTGTGAGTCGTTCGGGCCCCTCCTCCTGGTGTGACTCGTTCGGGCTCCTCGTGGTGTGAGTCGTTCGGGGCCCGCGTCGTGGTGTGAGTCGTTCGGGCTCCTCGTGGTGTGAGTCGTTCGGGCGCCTCGTCCTGGTGTGAGTCGTTCGGGCCCCTCCTTGTGGTGTGAGTCGTTCGGGCTCTTCGTGGTGTGAGTCGTTCGGGCCCCTCGTCCTGGTGTGAGTCGTTCGGGCTCCTCGTGGGGCCTCTTGGGGGCCTCTTGGAGCCTCTTGGGGCCTCTTGGGGGCCTCTTGGGGGCCTCTTGGGGGCCTCTTGGGGGCCTCTTGGGGGCCTCTTGGGGGCCTCTTGGGGGCCTCTTGGGGGCCTCTTGGGGCCTCTTGGGGGCCTCTTGGGGGCCTCTTGGAGGCCTCTTGGGAGCCTCCTGGGGGCCTCTTGGGGCCATCTTGGGGCCTCTTGCGATCTCCTCAGAAGCGCAAATGAGCGCTGCCCCCTGAGAAGGACAAAATGAGCCCAAAACCTTCGTAAAATCAATGATGTTGCTATGAAGGAAGAGGAGCGCGGCCCCCTCAGAAGGCCAAAATGGGGCCAAAACCGTAGTAAAATCAATGTTTTTTGCTTCAAAGACGAGCTGAGGGACCAAACTCCCCCCCCCCCTCGGGGCCAGAATCCTCGTGAGGGTCGTCGTTTTTTGGCCCTCCCAGGCGTCGAAAAAGACTTCCCCGGCGACGCTCGGGAATCCCTCTCCAGGTCCAGGGGGAGGGGGTAGGGGGAGGGGTAAACCCCCCCCCCGAAGGGGAAGAAGGGGGGTTGAGGACAGAGCGGGCTCTCTAAACCACTCACGCCCAAAGGGCTGGTGGGATTGCCTCCAAACCTTGCGGCGATGATGTTGGTCCTGGTTCTTCCCCTCCTACCCCTCCTCCTCCCTTCGCGAGGCAAAAGCATGCCTCATTCTTCTCCCATCGACATCCAGTCACATAGATGATAGCACACGAGGGGTTACATTCGACTCATGGTGCCGTCTTGTGGTCCCCTTGCGGCCGCTCGGAGGCATGCTGGAAGCCATCTTGAATCATCTTCGGTTTAATTGAGCCATATTGGGGGCCATTTTTGAGCATCGGATGCCTTTTTGACACGTCGCCCCCCAAAAAAACAATTCAGAGAGTGGGGGGAAGGGTAGCCCTCCCCGAAGGGGAATCAGGCTTCGGAAAGGGGAAAGGGGGATGTCGTTAGACTACCATCGCCAGTAGAGCTGGTCGGATGAGGAGAAGGAGCAGGCAGGGGAGGGAAATGGGGGGGAGGCGGAAGTGTTGCAATGTGGGGTGTCTTGGGGCCTTTGGTGTGTCTTGGGGCCTCTTGATCCTGTGGCTCTCAGACAGCGATTCGGGGGCCTCGGAGCATTATGGGGCGCCTTGGGGCCGACTTGGTGTCTCCTCGGGCTGTCGTTGGCCCCATCCAGAGGCCCTCTCGGTGTCCTCTCGGGCTGCATCGGGGGCTTTCGAGCAAAATGACGCTTTGGTTGTTTCGTGGGCCGTTTTCGTTTCGATTCCGATTGGCGGCAGGGGGCGGAGCGGAGACAGAACGAGAGAGAGCACAAAAACGATCAAAACGGAGACAGAAAGCACACTGTTTGGCTCGCGCCTGGCTTCCAGGGCCGCTCTGGGGGAGCGCCTTGCTTCCGGGGCCCTCGGGCCAGGCAGCCCGCACTTGACGAACGAACAACACACACCCATACCCATAGGGGGAACGTTGGGAAGAGGACTGGCTATGGGTATGGGTGCGGGTTGTCGGATCCTGGGGGGCGTTTCCTTTCGAGCGGGGACCCCAATCCGACAACACGCACCCATAGCGCCCTCCGTCCCACCTATGGATATGGGTGCGTGTTGTTCGTTCGTCAGCACTCGCGCGCGCCCGCCCAGCAGCAGGTGCGGCTGAAGTCCACCCCGCCGGAGCAGCTGGGCCTCGTGCCGCGCGCGGCGAGCCTGCTGTTCGAGCGGGTGGAGGCCATGCAGGCTCCCGCCCTCGGCCCCCTTCCTCCTCCTGCTCCTCCTCCTCCTCCTCCTGCTCCTCCTCCTCCTGCTGCTCCTCCTCCTCCTCCTCCGCCTCCGCCTCCTCCTCCTCCTTCTCCTCCTGCTCTTCCTCCTCCTCCTCCTCCTCCTCCTCCTCCTCCTCCTCCTCCTTCATTCGTGTTCCTTCTGGACAGCTTCTCCCTGTCGCACCCCAGGGCCAGTCGGAAGAGCAGGCCGGGTGTTTCGCTTGAGACTTCTATTTATGAACCTGAAATTCAAAAATTGGCAACAGTTTCACAGATGGAGGGCGAGTCGCTTCCAAAATGTGGCTGCCGCCCTAGTGCCGCGCACATTCGTCTTGCGGATGTGCAAGAGCTTCAGTGATGGATGGCGGGTGGTTTTCAAAATGTGGCTCTCGCCTTAGCGCCAGGACGGCCTGCAGACGGTCCAAGACGGTCCCCAATGGCTCCAGAGGCCCCCAAGACGCTCCGAGAGGCCCCCAAGAAAACCCTCAAGAGTCAAACGTCTCCCCCTTCCTCTGGGGAAACCTGTATGTTCAATGTATTCACTTGTGGGTTTGAACGGAGGCCCCGGAGATCGCCTCAAGACAGCCCAAGAGGACCCCGAAAAAGCCCACAAGAGGGCCAAGAGGGCCCCAAGATGACCCACGAGAGTACCAAGACAGCCCAAGAGGGCCACAGATAGCCCCCAAGAGGGCCCAAAAGGGCCCCAGGAGGGCCCCAAGACTACCTGAGCTCCCCACGGCCCCAGAGGGTCTCAAGATGGTCCAAGAGAGCCCCAAGATTGCCCAGAAGGGCTCCCAACGGACCCTCGAGAAGGCCCAGAGAGACCATAATCGCTGCTGTTCGTAACGCTCTTTGCTAGTGGGCCGACACAAGGCCCCGACAAGGCTGCAAGTTGGGAGCCGACAACGCGGGAAGCAATACGGGACGCCTTGCTTGAACCCCCTTGCTCATCTTTTTCTTTCTCCTAAGCCATGCACACCTGCGCCCAAGGATGCTTCCGAGAGAGCCAGGATGGCCTCCAGACGCCCAAGACGGTCCCCACATGGCCCAAGGCGACCTCAAGACAGTCCAAGAGGTCCCCGCGATGCCCCCCCCAGAGGGCTCCAAGAGGACCATGAGAAGCATTGCAAGAAACCCAAACCATCGATGTCCGAATTTTGTGTTCGAAGATTTTAGCGTCCCCGCCGTTCCAAGGTTCCATCTCCTCCTCCGTTCCCCTCCCCTCCCCCCGCCTCCCCTCCCCCGCCTCTCCTCGACCATGGCGAGCACGGGTGTTGTTATATCTTCCGTTGACTCGCGAGCGTGCCAATAAACACCACTCGTTTTGCCTATGCGTCCTCTTGGGTGCACGGCTCGTGACTGACAAGACCGCCCTCAAGACGGCCGTGGTTGCCTCTAAGTTTCCCGAGGTGCCAGACGGCCCCGGAACGCCGTGAGACGGCGGAGAGGCCTCCTCATAGCCCCCGAGGGGGCCCCCAAAGGATCCCCAGACGCCCCGCGCAGTTTCCAGGTGGCTCCACAGGACCTATGCATTGCACCTTCGGCACGTGCACCCTTTCGAAGCGAGGGAATCCTCCAGAGGCCCCCTCAAAGGCACACGAGTCTGCAAGAGGCCCCGAGAGACACCCGTGAGCGGCCTGAGACCTCCTTCCTCTTCCTCTTCCCTGGTCCTCCCGTTCCTCTTGCTTTCACTCCCTGAACCTCTTCAGAGGTCCCTCGCGACGCTTCGAGTGGGAAACGGACAACTCGGGAACCCATATGGGACGTCCTGATTGAGTTTGCCGTTGTGTTCGCGGGGAGGGCGGGTGGTTTTCAACATGTGGTGGTCGTTCGAGTGCCGCGCACACTCGTCTTCACAGTTTGTAGGGGCTTCTCGGGTGGAGGGCGGCCCTTTTTCAAGACGGCTTTTGATGGGCTGCCTTGGGGCCCTCTTGGGCGGTTGAGGGGCCCTCTTGGAGGCCTCCTGGAGCGTCTTGGGGCGGTTTTGGGGGGCCGCCAGGGCCGTCTGGGAGCCTCGGGAAGCCGAAACGGCGAGAACACCCAAATCTTTCAAAGACCTGTCAGGAAAGCAATGGTGGGCCTCTTGGGAGGCCTCTTGGAGGCACCTTGGGGCATCTTGGAGGCCTCTTGGGCCGTCTGGGGGCCATCCTGAGCATCTTGGAGCGATCGTTCGGCGACCCGGGGCCCTCTTTGACCGTCTTGGGGGGCGTCTCGAGGCTCTCCAGGACCGTCTTGGGGCCCTGCCGGTCCCCGAAAGCCCAGGGGGCACGCGGGAAGCCCTGGGAGATGTGAGAACGCGGGGTCCGGATCCCTTGAAGAATCTGCAGGAGCGAGGAGTGAGGCTCAGAGGATTGGGCCAAGGTCCTGAGGGCACGCCCACTCCGTAACGCGGGGTCCGGATCCTTGGAGGAACCTTCAGGAGCGAGGAGTGAGGCTCAGAGGATTGGGCCAAGGTCCTGAGGACACGCCCACTCCGTGCCCAGCGGCACGGTGGCGGATCAGCCGAAGGGTGGTCGTCTGTGTGAGGAGGTTGGGGGAGGGGAAAGAGTTCACTGCGGGCAACAGAGATCTCTGGAGCGACCTCTGAAGCGATCTCAACTGATCTTACAATCGAGCTCACAATCGATCCCACTATCGACCTCACTGTTGATCTCGCAATCGATCACACAATCGACCTAACGATCGATTGCACTATCGATACAAACACCGATCTCACTATCGATCTCACTATCGATCCAACTATCGGTCTTACTGCCGATCTCACCAAATCTCGGCCGCTATCGATCTCACTATCGATCAGGACACCACGGCGGGACACCGCTGGGACACCATCGGACACCACGGGGCACCACGGGACACCACTAGACACCATCGGGACACCACGGCGGGACAAGGCTGGACACCTTCGGGACAACGCGGGACACAACGGCGGGACGCCCCCAGACACCGCGCGCCCACCAGAGGGCTGGACTTTTGCATCCGATTCGCCTTAGCGGCGGCAGGGTCATTTCTCGGGCGCGCCTACGGCGAGATACCGCGGGACACCATCTGGACACCGCGAGACATCGCGAGACACCACGACGGGACACCCCCAGCCACCGCGCGCCCACCGGAGGGCCAGACTCTTGCATCCGAATCGCCCTAGCGACGGTGGGATCATTCCTTTGCTCGCCCACGCAGCTTCGCCTCGCCCGCACGCACGACAAGAACACGAAACCGAAACCGATTTCCTGGTGGAGGGCTCTCCGTTCCACTGCGATCTCACCCCCCAGCCTCCGACCATAAGCGTGGCCGATGTCGGGGACGCATCCCCCATGGCGGCTGGAAGGTTTATACCACGACGTGCCACCGTAGGGCGGTAAGCTTTCCAGCCGCCCAGGGGCAGGCGTCCCAGAGTGCGGAAACGATTGTGTCATCCCGTTCTTCGCCCGCGAAATGCTCCCCCCCAACGACGATGACGACGACAACGACGACCGCGCTGCCTCACCGAACGCATTCCACTACTAGGAGGCCACATGCGAACCCTACCCCTACCCCTCACGATTTCGGAGGGGGAGGGTGGGGTTCACTCCGTTCGGGAGCGAAGTGAAGAGAACCCCACCCTTCCCCGTCAGAAATCGTGGGGGGTAAGGGTAGGGTTCGCATGTGGCCCCCTAACTACCCGCAGAGGGCCTACTTGCAAACGTCCGAAAAGCACGTGCTTTCTCCGACATCGCGAATTCCCCGCGGCGGATCCAGGCCACTTGCGAGTAGTTCCTTTGCGAGTCGTGGAACGCGCTTGTCCACTGCCAGCGCCCTGGCACCCGCGCACCGCGGGCGCGCCAGGAGAGGGCGCGGGCGGAGGGGCGCGTGAACGCCGACACTTTCATCGTGAAGGCGCAGCGCCGCCGCCGCCGTCGCCGCCGTCGTTTTCGTCGACGCGGCCGTTGTCGCCGTTGCCGTCCAAGCTGCCGTCGTCGCCTCTGTCGTCGTCGCCGCCGCCGTCGCGGTCGCTGTTGCCGTCGCCGTTGCCGTCGCCGTCGCCGCCGTTGCTGCCCTGCTGCTCCTCTTTCTCCCTCGTGCTCTCCCCCCTCCTCCCTCATGCTGCGTGCTCCCTCTTCCTCCCTCAACTCCAGTCGCCTTCCCGGTGCAGGGGATCCTTCCAGCATTCAGGGCGCCGCTTCAGGAACCCGTCCGTCGGGACAGCTGCCATGCGCACCAGCCGCTTCCTTCGCTCCTGGCATGCTCTGGCTGCCCGCGATCACGGGCAAGACCCGGGCCCCTCCCCGAAGCTCAAACGCGCTGTTTTGTTCGGCGGTTGGGCTATTGTGCGCGCGCGGGCCGTGCGCCCTGGATGAAGAACGTCGCGCTCTTGACCAAGCAATGCTCGCAATCGGTCGCCGAGATCAAATTGGCCCCTGTCTATGCCCCTGCGTTTCCGCCCGGGTGCTGGTGGCCACAAGATTTCGTGCCCGAGGCCACTGAAATGCAGCTGGCCACGCTGCTCACGGCCCTCGGCGTCGACGCGCCCACCGTTGAAGCGGCACAAAGGGGAGGTCGAGCTTGTAGCCCCTCCTGGAGCTGCAGGCAGCGTGCCAGGTGGAGCGGAGGTGGGCTTGCGCCCTGCCGCAGCAGCCCCCCACACATCGCCCGACATACCGCAACAGCCGCTAACAGTCTCGGAACGTCTCGGAGTGCCCCAACGGCTGCGCAAGCAAAGGACTCCTGGTATTCTTTCGCAGTGCGACTCCGACTTTCCTTCAGGGTGGACTTGGCTGACGACCGACCCAGGCTCGGAGGACTTGCTCTGCCTCGAGGTGTGCAGCACAGGCGGTGTGCCAGTGGACTCCACTGAATTGCATATTCCGATGATTTGCAAACATGACTGTGTGAGTCCAAACAGGCACTCGCGTGTGAGAGAGTTCGTCAGTTGCTCGCCGCACGTCTGTGGCTTCCTCCAGGCATGGTGCCCTGAAAACTCAAAACTCGCGCATCTCTCATCGCAATGTGGTTTTTGCACATATGATAACGGCACTTCTACATCGACAAGCTCAGGCTCGGAGGACTGGCTCTGCCTCGAGGTGTGCAGCACGTGCGGCGTGCAGCCGCCACCTCTGCATGACTGCCGCCCCCCCTGATTGACCGAGGGCAGCCGGGTTGCGTGCGCACGCTGGTGCCGGGCCCCCTCGTCGTGGGTCGCCCCCGCCCGCTCGCCCTGCGGGCGCCTCCTGCTCTGCGCCCCCACGCGGGTTCTCTTCTCCTCCTCCTCCTCCTCCTCCTCCTCCTCCTCCTCCTCCTCCTCCTCCTCCTCCTCCTCCTCTCCCTCCTCCTCCCCCTCCTCCTCCTCCTCCTCCTCTCCCTCCTCCTCCTCCTCCTCTTCCTTCTCATGTATTTGTTATTCACGCCTCGGCTTCCGGGAGCCACCCAGAGTTATTCCGCTGGAGCACGCCTCGCGCCATGCCCCTCGTCCCACGCACACCTCAGATCCGCGATTCCAAGAGTGCCTTGGCCGGCGAGCCTCGTTTGCTTGCGGCGCCCCGCTGCCCTCCCGGGTTTTCGGGTCCCCGCTGCCCCGTCGGCGGTCGCCAAGATCCTTTTCGGCCCGACCGATCCGATTCGATACCAGTTTCGGCCCGCTGCCGAGCCGATCCGACCAACCCCGTGCCGATGCAGCCCCGCTCGTTGCCTTTCCAAATCCAGCTTCGCGGTTCGACGCTGGTTGCTCTTGCCTCGGCCCCTCCCCCTGTGTGATGGGCTTGTTTTCCACCACCACCACCACCATAATGAAGTTGGAGGGGGAGGGGGTCCTCCTCCTCCTCCTCCTTCTCCTCCTCGTCTTCCACCTTCTTCCCCCCTCCAACTCATGGTGGTGGTGGTGGAAAACAGGCCCATCACTTTGGGCTCGGGGGCTGAGCAAGAATCACACGGCCTGGACTTGCGCAGGGGCGCGCCGCGACCAGCGCCTCGACGGGGCTCCAGGCGTGGCCGCGTGAGCGCCCCCATGGCAGGCCAGGAAAGGCCCCAAAGCGTCCGGGAAAGCTTCGAACCTAGATTTTCTCTTCCTCCTCCTCCTCCCCCCTCCTCCTCCTCCTCCTTCTCCTCCTCCTCCTCCTCCTCCTCCTCCTCCTCCTCCTCCTCCTCCTCCTCCCCCCCTCCTCCTCCTCCTCCTCCTCCTCCTCCTCCTCCTCCTTCCTCTCCTACTCCTTCTCTTCCTCCTCCTCCTCCTCCTCCTCCTCCTCCTCCTCCTCCTCCTCCTCCTCCTCCTCCTCCTCCTCTCCCTCCTCCTCCGTTGCCATTTTGGCTCAAGATGCCATGTCCCTCGGGCAGAGAGTGGATATCTCTAGTCCGAGGCCAGAGCAGGAAGCCTTGGTGAGCTCCTGGCGGAGCTAAGTTCGTCTCCCGCACCAGCACTGGCTCGCGCGGGGAGGCTGCGGCATTTCCAGTTCCTGTGCGGGTCAGTGCTCAAATGGGGCCCATGCGGATCGACGATGTTGCGAGCGGGCCTGGTGGTGCTGCTGACGGCGCTGCTGGGGCACGTCCCGATCTCCCATCGGGATCTGGTGAGCGCGGCTCCTCCTCTTCCTCTCGCGGCCAGTCGAGGAGTGCTGAGAGGCGCCGCCGCAAGCGCCGCGAGCGCCGGTCCCGCGGCCGCGCCCGTGCTCTGGAGGAGGACCGTGAAGCGGCCAAGCGTGCAGCGCTGGCGGCTCTCTCTCTCTCTCTCTCTTTTGTGCCTCCTCTAGATGTGCTCCGGCCCAGTCCTCATTCCTGGCTCTCTTCTGCTCAAGGTCTGCCTTTGCTTTTTGGCTTCTGCGTTCGAGGCAGCTCTGACGCTGCCGACTTGCCATCGCCTCATTGGGGGGGAGCGAGGCTTGCAGGAGCGCGGCCCCCACGGGGCCCCGAGCTGCCACACTGCGGGGCCCCGAAAAGGTGCACGAGAGGCGCACGCTTCTGCACCCCGCTCGTGCTGCCTCCCCGCTGGCGAACGCCCGATCCGAGTCCCGCGCAGGGTCTCCTTCCTCCATGTATGCAGCGAGCACGTGTACGACACGGGGGCCCCCGCCGCTTCCTCCCTCCTCTGGCTCCGCCTGATGTGCAAGCTTCGCGCGGCCCGCTTGGCTTCGGCCAGAAGAGGTGCGCTCTCGACCCGCGGATCAAGAAGGTGCACGACACAGGGGCCCGGTGTGGAGGCCCGTTCGGATGGTCCTGGGGCCCAACGCGCGGGCCCCAGAAGCCCCCCTCCCGGCAAAAGCATGTGAGGCACGCCCCAGGATCGAGCACCCCGCAGCGCCCGAGAGATCTGCGCCCCTCGCAGGCCTCCTTCCTGCAGATCTACAACGAGCACGTGTACGACCTGCTGAACCCCGTGCACACGGCGGCGCAGATCGAGGCCGCCGGCCGGGCCGAGGACGCCGCGGGGGGCGCCCCCGCCCTCCTGTGCCCGAGGGCGGCGGCGGCGTCCCCATCCTGTGCGGAGGCAGGCTCCGAGCTGGCGTTTCTGAAGGGGCCCTGGGACACACGAACAACTAACAACTACACACAAATGAAAAGATTCCCCATATTTTCTGGTTTTTGGGTCTTCCCCCCCCCACTTCCCATATTTTCCCATAGTTTCCTGGGAGTCGACGATTCATTGTGTCTGTGTTTTTTTTCCCCTCCTGAGTTTTGTCCACGCGTGGCGCTCCAGAAAAGGGGCTGCGCCATGCGAGGCCTCGAAGGAGTTGGCGCCTCTCCTCCGAGGAGGAAAGGGGTGCCGATACGGATGCCGCTGCCTTTTGTCCGCTGTCCCGTTGTTCGGCCTCCTGGGCGGCCCTCGTCGCGTACTGCTGGATTCGCTTCGTACTCCTGGTCGCGTACTCCTGGGCGACCCGCGTCAGCAGAAGCTTGAAAAGAGGCGCCATGGCGCTTTTTGGGGGTCGTGGGTTTCCGAAACCCGCCCTATCATAGTGAGCGGGCCGAACGGTCATTCACTGTCCCTGGGTGCGTGGCTGAAGTGGGATTCCGCGATGCGGATTATTGTTGTATGTGGTTGTTTTTGTTTTTGTTGTAGTTGTTGGTGGTGGTGGTGTTGTTGTTGGTGGTGTTGTTGTTATTATTAGTCTTGTTGTTGCTGTTGTTGAATGCTAATTACTAAACAATTATTATTGTTGGACCCCCCAGGCGCTTTGGCGCTCTCGCGTCGGCGCCGGCTATATTTTCGTTGAAAATGAGGCTCACGCTCGAGCGGTTTGGAGGGGCGTTTTTGAAGGGGCCCTGGGACACACAGACAAATACACACACGTTAAAAGATTCTTCATTATTTTCTGGTTTTTTGGTCTTCCCCCCCACATCCCATATTTTCCCATAGTTTCCTGGGAGTCGACGATTCATTGTGTCTGTGTTTTTTTCCCCCTCCTGAGTTTTGTCCACGCGTGGCGCTCCAGAAAAGGGGCTGCGCCATGCGAGGCCTCGAAGGAGTTGGCGCCTCTCCTCCGAGGAGGAAAGGGGTGCCGATACGGATACCGCTGCCTTTTGTCCGCTCCCCCGTTTTTTTTTGGGCCTCCTGGGCGGCCCTCGTCGCGTACTGCTGGATTCGCTTCGAGATCCTGGTGGGAGCGCACCCCGGGAGAGGTCCGGGGGGTACGGTAGGTTCGCGTCGTGTCGACCGGCGGCGACCCCGCCGAGGGCCTTCAAGGTTGAACGCCGCCAGTGGCCCAGAATCGGCTTATATGGAACGATCGGGCGGTCGAAAAGCCGCCGATCGTTCAAGGTTGAACGATTCACGCAGTGTCAGAAACCAACGCCAGGGTCGTCACGACACGAACCTGCCGTACAGGTATTGGAGCCTTCTGGTTTCCCCATCTTCCCCGGCGGAAGGCGGGCGGAGATCGGCGGGCGTCAAACGAGGGCTGCTCCGCAGGCGGACGGCGGCGGACGTGAAAGGTCGGGCTGGAAGAGGCGGGGGGCACTGCGCACGGGGGTCAGCCAGAGCGCCGGATCTTGCAGGATCCTTCAAAGCCAGGGGTGCGTCGACCCAGACGAGGCGTCCAGGATCCTGCAGGACTCTGCAGGATCTTGCGAGGCCCGATTGACCCGCGTTGGCATTGACCCGCGTCAGCAGAAGCTTGAAAAGAGGCGCCATGGCGCTTTTGGGGGGTCGTGGGTTTCCGAAACCCGCCCTATCATAGTGAGCGGGCCGAACGGTCATTCACTGTCCCTGGGTGCGTGGCTGAAGTGAGATTCCGCGATGCGGATTATTGTTGTATGTGGTAGTTTGTGTTGTTGTTGTTGTTGTTGTTGTTGTTGTTGGTGTTGGTGTTGGTGTTGGTGTTGGTGTTGGTGTTGGTGTTGGTGTTGTTGTTGTTGTTGTTGTTGTTGTTGGTGTTGTTGTTGTTGTTGCTGCTGCTGTTGTTGTTGTTGTTGGTGTTGGTGTTGTTGTTGTTGTTGCTGCTGTTGTTGTTGCTGTTGCTGTTGTTGTTGTGTTGTTGTTGTTGCTGCTGCTGTTGTTGTTGTTGCTGTTGTTGTTGTTGTTGTTGTTGGTGTTGTTGTTGTTGTTGATGTTGTTGTGTTGTTGCTGCTGCTGCTGCTGCTGTTGTTGTTGTTGTTGTTGTTGTTGTTGTTTGTTGTTGTTGTTGTTGTGTTGTTGTGTTGTTGTTGTTGTTGTTGCTGTTGTTGTTGTTGTTGTTGTTGTTGAACATTATTAATTCTAAAGAATAATTATTGTTGGGACCCCTGGTGCACGGCCCCCCTGCGCCGCCTAGGCCGCAGCTACATTTTCATCATTTTCGTGAGGAAGCCTCAGGTAATTCGATGTGATCAAGATCCGGTTGTTTTGTTCCCCCCCGCTTTCCCTTGCAAAAAACACTATAAAATGACATTTCTTGTTCTAATATAATCAAATTTCAAGAATCCCTTGCAAAAAATAAGGTAAAGTGGACATTCGCGCGCGCAAGACGAAATCCTTCCAAAAGCTTAGTGTTCGGAGCGATTTTAACATAAAAACATCAAAAAACCAATGGTTTTTCAACAAAAAAATGTCAAAATCTCATCCCGCGCGCTCTTGCGGATTCGTAGGAAACCCAACACTTTTTAAACATTTCTGTCAAACGGGCTTTTGCGAGCAACTTTTTCGAACTTCTGCGACAACGGTTGCGCACCTGCCAGGGCCATCATCCCTGTCAAATAATACCATGCGGGACACATTCGTTTTTTCTTCGCGCGCGCACGCCGAAATCTCCAAAAACCATTGGGTTCTTAAGAATTTTAGCACCGCGCATCATAAAATCACACGAATCGCACCGTAGGTCCTCGAAAAACACCTGCACGACTTTTCAAAATTTCCACCCGCGCGCGCTGTCCGAATCCTAAAAAAACCAATGGTTTTCCAACATTTATGTTACATGAGCTCGCGCGAGCTACTTTCGCACGCTCTTGCAACGGGGTTCGCGCGCCTGCCAGGGGCCAGAATCCCTTGCGGTTGCGCCATATGTTGCGCCCTCGGCCGCCGAGAATAAAACGCCCCCCTATTGGTTGCGTCATAGGTTGCGCCCTCGGCCGCCGAGAATAAAACGTCCCCCTACTGGTTGCGCCATAGGTTGCCCCAGGAGGCCTTCAAGAGGCCCCAAGAGCCCGCCGTCTCTCTCTCCCGCTCTCTTCCTCTGTCTCGCCTTCTCTCTCTCAGTGTCTGTACCATGTCTAGCACTGGTAACAAAGGTATTTGTGTATCCCCACATCCGCCCAGGAATTCCACAAATGTGACCAACTATCTTGCGAGTACGTATCATCTCATGTGTGTCGTGCACACTATCAAATGTAACAGAGTTGTGTATTCCCATCATCCCAGGAACTTGACCCAAAAATGTGACCAACTCCGCTCTCTCTGTCTCTCTCTCTGTCTGCTCTCTGTCTCTCTCTCTGTCTCTCTGTATTATGTATTGTATGGCACAATTGCACCATGCTGGGCACATGCGCGCCCCGAATAAGTGACCAAGTTCTGTGGGTGTGTACCCCACGCCAGTGTAGTAGCCACGGTCGTCCGCACGCCACGAAGTGAAGTGTCCCAACGTCATAGGGCGGGAAGCTGGGTTTGGGTGGTCGCGAAGAGTCGTTTGGATATTTGGTAGAGCTTGTAATGCCCCCCCACGAAGTGGGGGTATTGCCTGGTGTCGTATGAAAACCCTGGCACTGGGGAGAACACCACGCGTTCGGGTAAAATGATTGTTGTTGTTGTTGTTGTTGTTGTTGTTGTTGCTGCTGTTGTTGTTGTTGTTGTTGTTGCTGCTGCTGCTGTTGTTGTTGTTGGTGTTGGTGTTGTTGTTGTTGCTGTTGTTGCTGCTGTTGTTGTTGTTGTTGTTGCTGTTGTTGTTGAATGTTAACCACTAAACAATTATTATTGTTGGACCCCCCAGGCGCTTTGGCGCTCTCGCCTCGGCGCTGGCTATATTTTCGTTGAAAATGAGGCTCACGCTCGAGCGGTTTGGGGGGGCGCCCAAACCGGCCCCCCAACAACAACAACGCTCCCGCTCGAGACTTCCTCCTTGTTTGCTCAGGGCCTGTGCTCTTGCTCGCCGCTGAAAGCCGCAGTCCCAACAAAACCAGCGCTACTGCTCGAGATGTCCTTCCGTTTTACCTTGGACTGGCGCGCTACTCTTTCTCTCATCGGCGCCGCCCCCAGCAACAACAACGCTCCCGCTCGAGACTTCCTCTCTTTTTTACTCGAGGCGGTGCTCCTCCTCGCCTCCGAAAGCCGCGGTCCCGACAACCAGCGCTCCCGCCCGAGACTTCTCCCGTTTTACGCTGGACTAGCGCCCTATTCTCTTTTGAATTGGCGCCGCTCCCAGCAAAAACATGCAAAAACAACGCTCCCGCTCGCGACTTCCTCCCTTTTTCCTCAGGACGGTGCTGTTCCTCGCCGCCGACAGCCCCCGTCCAGACAAAACCATGGCTTCCGCTTGAGACTTCCTCCCTTCTTACTCAAGGCGGTGTTCCTCCTCGCCGCCGACAACCGCCGTCCAAACGAAACCAGCGTTCCCGCTCGACATTTCGTTTTGTTTTACGCTGGGCTAGCGCCCTACTCTCTTCAGCATTGGTGTCGCTCCCAGCAGCAACAGCGGCCCTGCTCGAGACTCCCCCCCTTTCTATTCAGGGCCAGGTCCTTGCCTCGCCGCCGACAGCCCCCATGCCCACCAAGGCAATCCTGTCGCTCGATACTTCCTTGTGCTTTACCCTTGGCTGTGGTTCCACTGGCGGTCTCGCATCGGCACAGCAAAGCGCGGGCATGCGTTTTCGAGGCGGGATATGTTGACATTCCTCGGAGGAGGTGCTCAAAAGACCTCATTGGGCGGGAGATCTAGGAATGAGAATAACAGACCCCGCTATCGAACAAGAGTCTCCCATGATGGGGATGGTCATCATGATGGTCGCATGCTTCGTGTGGAAGCATCGCGCATGAGGGTATAATGAATGTTGTTGTTGCTGTTGCTGTTGTTGCTGTTGTGGTTGTTGTTGTTGTTGCTGTTGTTGTTGGTGTTGTCGTTGTGTTGCTGAACTCTCATCACTTCAGAATAGTTAGTGTTGATCCCCCCTCCGTAACAAATCTACGTTTTCAATCGAAGTGCCCCTCCCGGGGCTCGCACCATGTTTTTTTATCAGGGAAAATCTTCCTCAAACTGCGCCCCTGACCCTGGACTACAGCAACAACGGCTCCCGCCTGATATTTCCTTGCAGTGTACTGAAGAATCGCGCTCTCGCTAGGGACTTCCTTGCAATGTATCCAAGAATCGCGCTCTTATTCAGGCGCCACGCCCTCGCCATTCAGGAATCGCGCTCTCGCCTTGGCCGTCTTCTTAATTTGCTTAGGAATCGCGCTCTCGCCCGAGATTTCCGGGCGAATTATGCAAGACTCACGCATTCGCGTAGCATGCGTGTTTTTGTCAATTGGAGTGTTTTTCCTGGGGCTCGCTGTGTTTTTACCGGGGAAGGTCTTCTTGCTGAAAGTGTGTCCCTGGCCCCCCTTTTACAACAACGACGCCTCCCGCCGGATGTTTCCTTCTACTTTATTCCCAAATCGCGCTCTCGCGAGGGATTTCCTCGTAATTTACTGGGAGAATCAAGCTTTCGCGTGGGACACCCTGGCAGTTTATTCACACGCCACGCCCTCGACACTCAGGACTCACGCTCTCGCTGTGGCCAGATTTATTGGGGAGTCGCGCTGTCGCTCGAGACTTCCTCGCGACTCATGCAGGACGCCCGCTTTAGCAACCCGCCTGCTCGACCAGGCCGTCTAGGCCCGCCTTCCCGACCCGCCCGTTAGAGTCTACCCGCCCGATCTGCGCGTCCGAAGACCTCCCCGTAGTTGCCTCCTAATTTTGAAAGAGCGTGTTCTGCCGCTGCTGGCAGAAAACCAGAGGGGGGTTACGGGTTTCCCCCCCCCCCCCTCAAAAACCAGGGGGGGTCACTGGGGGTTCCACCCCCCAGCCCCCCTTCCACCCAGTCCATCATGAAAAGGAGGGGGGTCGTCACTACCGATTCGACCCCCCCCCTGGAAAACCAGGGGGGGGGTCACTACCAGTTAGAACCCTCCCCCCCGACTCGCCGCAACGACTCCCCCCCTCCCCCACTCTGGATGGAGGACTGGTGGGGACAGTGGTTGGGACGGTGGTGGGGATGGTGGTGGGGAGTGGGGACAGTGGGACAGTGGGACAGTGGTGGGGATAGTGGGGAGAGTGGGACCGTGATGGATGGGGACAGTGGTGAGGACAGTGGGGACAGTGCGACAATGGTGGGGGCATTGGTGGGAACAGCGGGGACAGGGGTGGAGATAGTGGATACAGTGGGACAGTAGTGGGGACAGTGGGGACAGTGCGACAGTGGTGGGGACGGTGGTAGTGGTGGGGACAGTGGCGAGGGGACAGTGGGACAGTGGTGGGGATAGTGGGGACAATGGTGGGGACGGTGGTGGTGGGGACAGTTGTGAGGGGACAGTGGAACAGTGGTGGGGACAGAGGGGACAGTGGTGGGGACGGTGATGGTGGGGACAGTGGTGAGGGCGGTGGTGAGAACGGGGGTGGGACAATGGGGCAGTGGTACAGTGGGGAGAGTGGTGGGGACAGTGGAACAGTGGTGGGGACAGAGGGGACAGTGGGACAGTGGTGGGGACAGTAGGGAGAGTGGGACCGTGGTGGGGACAGTGGTGGGGACAGTGGGGACAGTGCGACAGTGGTGGGGGCATTGGTGGGGACAGTGGTGGGAACAGTGGGGACATTGGGACAGTGGTGGGGACAGTGGGAACAGTGGGACTGTGGTAGGGACGGTGGTGGTGGGTACTGGTGAGGGCGGTTGTGAGGAAGGTGGTGGGGACCGAGGAGTCGTTTGCCGGCGGCGAGTGGTAGAGGCGGGGAGGGGGGGGTTCGAACCGGTAGTGACCCCCCCGGTTTTCCGGAGGGGGGGGAGTTCTGGGGAAGGGGGATGGGGAGTGGGGAGGGGTTCGAGCAGAGGGGGGGGGATCTTCAAGAGGGGGAGGGGATTTTCCACAGCAAAGTGGCGGTGGATCCCGGCCCCGCTTGCGGGGCACCTGGCCCCGCTTGCGGGGCCACAGCCTCGCCCTACCCGACGCTGCCCGAGCAGCCGCCCGCGAGAGAAGTTCTGCTCCCAGGACCACGCGGGCCTCCGGATCCGCTGGGACGCCGCGAGGATCGGGCGTCGAGCAAGGGGGGGGATGGTCAATGGGGGGGTGAAGACGAATGCACCTTTTGTGCCCCAAAGTCGCCCTAGAGGAGCCCCCTGGGGTCCCAAAGGGGGCACGACAGGTGCACGCCTCTCCCCCACCCCCCACTTGGGCGACGAAAAAACACGGGTCCAACTGCGCAGACGACACTCGCGCGTAAGCTGCTCGCGTAAGGTCGCGCGTAATCAAGCGCCCTCGTCTCCACTGAGGCCTGCCGCGCTGGCGGCCCGCGTAAGCCACCGAGTCACGTCGCTGCGTCATCTCGCGCAGGAACCGTTCTTGATCGTCGCTCGCTCAACGCCCCCCATGAGCCAACGCCCGGGAGGAGGCAGTTCTTCGCCGAGAACCTCTTCGAGTACGAGTGCCAGACGGCGGACGAGCTGCTGGACCACTACGGCACCGGGCTGCAGCACAAGCAGGCTCCGCGCGGGCGGGGCCCCGGGGCGGGGCCGCCCCAGCCCCAATCTGCTTTGGGCGCCTTTCTTCTTCAAGAGTCGAAGGGTTTTCCATCTTCCTTTCTCTCAGGGGGGGCGTGCGGAAGCCCTATACACTTCCAACGCGTTCCTACTTCATGTTTCTCTACCTGCCTCTTCTGGCCGACGTGTAGACGTCTGGAGATCCGCGCAGGTCGTCTGGGTCGTTTTTCTGGGCCCCCGAGCTCGGCCACGCGCAGAGGTGGGCAGGGGGAGGGGAAAGGCTTCTTAGAAGCACCCCTTCCTCTCAGAGGGCGCGGGCCCTGCCTGTAGAGGTAGGGCTGGCGCCTTCAAGGAGCGGCCCCCCTCTAAGGAGCCTTCCCCCTTTCCCCCATGATTACCCCCCTCTTGCGCGCCGCCCACGGGCGGCGCGCTGGTGCCACCCCTGGCGCGCTCCGCGGGCCAGGGAATGTGCGTGTGTGCGTGTGCGCACCGTAGCGATTCCGTTTCCTTTCGTCCGCTTCGATTCGTCCGCTTCGATTCGTCCGTTTCGGCTCGTCCGCTCCGGCTCGTCCGCTTCGACTTGCCCGCTTTCAAGCCGTCTCGTCTGGGCTTCGAGAGGAGACAAGTCGAAAGAGGGCGGATCGAACGAGAACCAAACGAAGGCGCACGAGATAAAAGTCCACCTCAGCGCCGACCCAAGAAGCCCAGGCGGCCCTCGCGAACGGATCGGAGCAGAGCAGCGCGGAGCCGAGCGCAGCACCGGTGATAATGATATGGTAGAGGCAGGTCGTGTCGAGTGGATGGGAGTAGTGAGAGTACGGTCGGGGAGATTGCTGTCGGGCGGGTGAGCAGGGCAGGGTCTAGTCCACGCCATCGCCGAGGAGTTGCACAAAACCCACCCGCCCACCCACACAACCATAAAGTTTTGCAGGATTTCGTTGTCCTGTGCATCATGAAACTCATCCTGTCTACCAAATGCCACGGCTGAAATGAGCGCGCGCGTGCATGCTTCAAGTGCCATGGCTAGTCCATGCGCAGGGCCGCGCGAGCGGATGAACACCAACATCGACAAGCCCAGCCCCGTTGATGAGCCCACCCACAAGTTGTATAACAGACGTGTGAAAACCTCGCGGCCCATAGTTTGTGCACGTGCGCGCAGGGTACGTCTGGCAGATTCTCAAGTGTTGCATCAAAGAACACACACACACATGTCGAGGAAAGCAGTGTGCACAGACGCAGTCTGTGCTTCAATTGTCGGGACACTCGAGCGCGCGTGGCCGCACGGTGTTCTGCCGCATGGCTTGCTGGAGAGGGCACAGCATGGCTGCCGCACAGCCTTGCTTGAAAGGCAGAGTGCCCTTGCCGGATCGGTGTGTGCGCCGTATGCTGTCACTGCGAAGGCCTTACGGACGGTGCCGCCGGCCCTGAAGGGGAACGACGACAACGGCGGCGGCGACGACGACGACGCTGACGTGGGTCAGAGTCCTCATGGATGCTTTTTGGGGTCTCTTCGAAGCGCTCTCGGGGGCCTCTGGAAAACAGTTTGGGGGCCTCTCGAGAGCCTCTTGGGGGCCTTTTGGGAGCCTATTGGTGGCCTCTCGGGGCTTCCTGGGAGCCTCTCGGGGCCGAGGGCTCGAAATGTGCGTTCTGGTGAGCCGTCTTGCGGGCCTCTTGGGCCGTCGTGGAGGCGTCTTGGGCCGTCTTGGGGCCCTCTTGGGCCGTTTTGGGTCCCTCCTGGAGTCCTCTTGGGCCATCTTGGAGCGATCTGGGGGGCTTCTTGGGCCGTCTTAGAGCGTCGGGAAGCGGAAGTGGCGAGAACGCCGAAATGCTTCAAAAGCCAATGAGAAATCAGTAATTTTTCCTCTTAGGGCCCTCTTGGGAGGACAAGGCGTCTTGGACATATCGTTCGGCGATTCGGGGCATTCTTGGACCGCCTTGGGGGCCTCTTGGGGCACTCCTGGCCCGTCTTGGGGCTTCTTTGGGCCTCGGGACCCCCCAGAGGGCAGTCGCATCTGACCTGGGGCCCCTCCCACAGCGCCAGGCGCTATACATCTGCTCGGTGAAAGTAGCAGCGCCAGGCGCTACATCTGCTCGGAGCCCAGCGAAGGAGGCGACAGTTGCGCGGCTGACAGCCCCCATAGGGGGCCACGAGGTCTCGCTTGCCCGCCGCCCCCGCGGAGCCTCCCGGGAGCCCGCAGCCGGCAGCCTCCCCGGGGGAGCCGCGGGGTCGCGCCTGCGCACCGCCCCCGCTGGACTTCCCCGGGAGGGCTCGGGCGGCAGCCTCTCCCGGGGAGCCGCGAGGTCTCGCTGGCCCACCTCTGCGGGGCCCTCCAGGGGCCCACGGAGGTGACGACGGTCGCGCGGTGCACAGCCCCCCAGCAGGAAGGGTGACGAGCCAGGAAAGAGCAGTGGGGCCAGAGGCAGGAGGAGAGGGGAGGAGGAGAGGGAGGAGGAGGAGGAAGGAAAGGAAGAGGAGGACGGAGCCTTCGAAGACCACGCTCCTTCGTTCAGAGCGAGGGCCCAACACACAGGAGGGCTGGGGATAAAGCAGCATACAGCAGGCAGAAGGATGTATGAGCGAGAGTGGGCGGAGGAGTTTGCGCGAACATGGCTGTATTCAAACGAGAACCCAACACAGGAGGATTGGAAAGCACAGAGGCCTTTGATGAAGTAGATTCCATGTATTCCTGGGGCGCTTTTGGAAGACCTCCAGGATGGCTTAAGAGGCGAAATATTTGAACAACCTACATTTGACACCAGTTTCGCTTCAATGCAAGCGGTGCGTTTGAGGCATCTTCGAAACATTAGTTCGGGCGAGTGTTTGAAACGGCCTTATTATGACGACGTTGATGCTGATGACAACGGCGACGGTGATGATGATGACGATGATGATGATGAGGATGATGCTATTGTTGTTGATGATGATGCTGATCATGATGATGATCCTGATGATGGCGGTGGTGGTGATAACAGTGATGATGGTGATGGCGACGATGGTGGTGATGCTGATGAGGGTGGCGATGGTGATGTTGATGGTGGTGGTAGTGATGCAGATGATGATGATGATGATGATGATGATGATGATGATGATGATGATGATGATGATGATGATGATGATTATGATGGTGGTGATGGTGATGGTGATGACGATGACGATGATGATGGTGATGATGATGATGAGTATGATGGTGATGGTGATGGTGATGATGGATAAGGATGATGTTGATGTTGATGTTGATGATGATGATGATGATGATGATGATGATGGTGGTGATGATGGTGGTGGTAATGATGGTGGTCGTGACAGGTGATGGCGATGGCGATGGTGATGATGATCATGATCATGATCATGAACGTGATGATGATGAGGAGGAGGAGGACGAGGACGAGGACGAGGACGAAGAGCAGGATGATGACGAGTTGCCGCAGAGGGTCAGGACCAATATCAGGAGTGATATAATCCCCGTTTCATTTCAGCGCTACGTCTGAACTCGCGCGGGTAGCGACCTCCACATGATACCCCTCGTGGGTGTTCGGGAAAGCGCTTGCGCTACAGTTGTTTTTTGTTTTTGTGCATGCTCTTGCCGAGCTCCTCGATTTCACACACTTCCCGCTCATTTCAAGAAATATTCTTGTCAGGTCGGGTGGGGTAGGTGGGGTGAGAAGAGAGTAGACCAGAGTAGAGTTTGGCAGCGATGAGCAGAGCTGACCTATGCGCGGTGAAATGCATCCAGGGTGCGCATCAATTCTTGTGCTTGTGCTATACAAGTGCCAATTCGCAGTCAACGTTAGCATGTATGGTGGTCACATTACAGTGCAGAGCCAGTCAATTATCTCCTCCCTCTCCTTCGGCGGCGAGCCCGATGGGGAAGTGAGAAGGAGAAGACCATTTCAGAAGGCTCGGAAGTCCCCCGGCCTTCTGAGAAGTTCTCTCGGCCTTCCCCGACGACATAGGAAACTTCTCCGAAGGCGCAGGGGCTTCTGAGAAGCCCCGCCGCCTTCTGAGAAGGCGTTCTCCTTCTCATTTCCCCCCCCTCGCATGCCGCCGACTCCTGCTGCTCGATGGGCCGGACGGGGCTAGGACGAGGATTGATCCGTTCCAGAGCGTTCTGGAACGCTTTCAGAGCGGTCGGAAGGCTCCGAGAAGGCTGCGGCGCCCGAGACATCTTCCAGAGCCGCCCGATAGTGTCCTCGTCCTCTATGTATCCTCATCCGATAGTGCCCTCGTCCTGGCCTCGTCTTGGCCCGCCTGCGCCGAGGTTGCCTCCACGGGCATGAACGTGGCCTCGTCGCGCTCCCACACCGTGCTGGTGGTGAAGCTCGTGCGCCGCAGAGGACGGGGAGGGGGAGCGGCCGGGGCCCTCGTTGGCGGCCTCGGGGGCGCTCGCGCACGAGGCTCCTCGGCAGCCTCGGCGTCCGGGGGCCGCCTGCGGGCCCCTCGTCGGGAGACGGAGGCTAGGCACGGCCAGGCTCACCCTGAGCCCAGGAGCTGTGGCTGCGACCCACTGGCAAAGCCGGGAGGGAGTGGCGTCTGCACGGCTGCGGGGTGCAGGATGGGCCTGGCCAGGGAGCAGTGGACCTGCCTAGCCTTCGTCGCCCTGACCCCTGGCGGCTCGGGGGAGCTCGCGCACGAGGCTCTCCAGCAGTCTCGGCGTCTTGGAGCCGCCTCTGGGCCCCGCAAGGCCCACAACAAGATACAGTCGGGCCGAGGTGTGAGTTCGAGGTCGGTTCGGGGAGGCTGCCCTGGTGTTCTTCGTGCTTGTCGGATGTTCTGGTGCGTCCTGGGGGAGGGTGCCCTCGAATGCTCTGTGTATTTTCTCCGCCAGAAGGTCCCACGTTCTTGAAGGATGCTATTCTGTCCCAGGTCCAGCCGCACTCGGGAAGAAGTGGCAGTTCCGGGGAAGGGGCCGACTGAAAAGGGGGCGATACATGGGGGTGACGAAAGGTGTATTTTGTCGGGTCCTGAAACCCCGCTTCTGGGCCCTAAAAGGCCCCTTGAGGGACACCATCATATGAATAAAACCTTGTGTTCTTAATTTTCCGCTTCAATCTCGATTAAGCATTATTTTTTTACTTCCTAAATCAGACCAACTGAACAAGCACAATGTTGCATTGAGATCTTGAACGCGGAAAGACAATGTACACAAGGTTTTACTGAGATGTTGGGATGGAATTCCAATCCAAGGGAACCTTACGTGCTTAATGTTCCGATTCAAATCTAAATGATACAGTTTGTGGTGTGTTTGTCTTTCTGCTGGCGAGATCTCAAGTGAAATCGTGTCCACTTAACATCGAGAAGACAACCTACAATGTTGCTACGATCTTGAAAGTGGGGGGGACACAACAACACAAGGTTGTATTGAGATTTTGAATCAGTTTGCGTTTTCAATTTGAAAACATCGATTGACATTCCATCCCAGCACATCAATACAGCATTGTGTATTTGGCCTTTCCGCGTTCAACATCTCAATATAACAGTATGTTGTGTTTGTTTGCTTTATTTTGCAAAAAAACAGCACAATACTCGAGTGAGATCTTGTAAGCAGAAAGACAAGCAGCACAAGGTTTACTTTAGATTTTGATGGCAGCATGGTCTGCAAGCCAGACGGCGCTGATTGCTAAATTTGTGGGGCCAGACACAAACACAGCAGACAACGTATATACTACGTAGAATTGTTTCGTAGCTTTCAAGCTACAAGACATCTATATTATGATTTTGGGCGACCAGGAACAGAAAACCTGTGGTTTCACATGTGTCGAGCCCCCCCTCCCCCCTCATAATGTTTTGCCACATGTATAAACGCAATGCTCTTTATTTAAACAGGAAAACAAAACAAGCGGGCAATGCAAAACCAGCTGTCCTCAGAGGGACATCCCACTTCAGGAGCTCAAAACCTTGTGGTTTCATTGGTTTTGAAGGCGCTATATCATCTGCCATATATGCACAGGCATGTTCTTAGTTTTCGGAATACAAAGCCTTGTGCTTCAAAAGTTTTAGACTCCACATAATCGTTTTCTGCGTTTGCGTTGTATAAAAAAAAACAAGTGTGATTCGATTCCCTCTCCTCCTCCTCCTCCTCCTCCTCCTCCTTTCCTCTCTGTTTCCATTTCCGTTCCTATTAGGCTCCGATGTGGCCCCCATGTAAATTCAATGGAATTCCCACCCCCTCCTCCTCGCCCTTTCCTATTTAACCGTTATTTGGATGTCATTCTGGCCTAATTGAATTATTTCTCCGCCTCCTCCCCCTCCTCCTCCTCCTCCTCCTCCTCCTCCTCCTCCTCCTCCTCCTCCTCCTCCCTTCTTCTTATTCCCTTTCCTTCCTTCTTGGGCTCTTATTTGAATCCATTTTCAAATCCAATAGAATCCTCCCGCCGCCTCCTCATCCTCGCCCTTTCTCATTGGGTTCTTTTTTGGATCAGATTCAATCATGCTCGAATCTTCCCTCCCCCGGGCGGGGAGAAGGGGGAGGGAGGATTCGATTAGGATTGGATCGGCTTCGAATAAGAATACAGTGGGGACAGGTGAGGAGGGGGGGCGGGGAGGATTCGATTTGAATTGAAAAGGATTCACCTAATAATTCAAGGAGAAAGGGCGAGGGGAGGAGGGGGGGGATATCCCATTGGACCTGACTGGGGTCACAATAGGGGCACACTAAGGAAGGAATGGGAAGGAGGGGAAGGGGGAGAAGGAGGGGTAGGAGGATGAGGATGAGGAGAAAGGATTCGATTGCGAAGGCCTTACGGCCGGTGCCGCCGACCCTGAAGACGACGAAGATTGAAACGAGCGGGGGGGGGGGGGTAGGAGGCGGAGGAGGAGGAGGAGGAGTGGGGGGGGAAAGAGGAAGGGTGGAGGAGGCGGATGAGGGAGGAGGAGGGGGGGAAGGATGAGGAGGAGGAGGAGCAGGAGTAGGAGGAGGGGGAGGCAGAGGAGAAGGAGGCAGAGGAGGAACTGGAGAAGGGGGAGCAGGGGAGGGGGGAGGCGCAGGAGGAGGAGGAGGAGGAGGAGGCGTTGTGGCATTCTAGAGTCTCTTGGAACCAGCCTTTCATGGTTTCGGGGGCGCTCGAGGAGGAAACGTATCTGGGCGGCGTCCTTTGGCCGTCTGGGGGCCCCCTTTGGCCGTCCTCAGTCCTGAGGCGTTCTTGGGCTGTCTTGTGGGGTTTGGGCCGTCTAGGGGCGCTCTTGCGGATCCGTCGTGGCGACCCACCCCTCCTCCAGCGCATCTACAGAGGTCCCCGCTGTAAAAGCCGCAAGCGGGGGATGCGAATCTGACCCCCCCCCGCCTGGGAAGGGACAAAGGGAAGGGGCTTCCCATTGACGTGACTACGACGTAGGTCGATTTCCCTCAATCCTCGGACTCCTCCCCCCGACGATGGATGCAGGATGCTGGGAGACGTTATGGATGCATCCAGACGGACAGGCCTTGAAGTACACCCGAAGAAGACGACGATTCTGCACAACATGGAAGCCCGGCGGCCGAAGAAAAACCCAGAGTACACTAAGGTTGGGATTTGCGACATTGAAATATTGGCGTGCGCAAAAACACAAGTATTTGGGTCGACAGTTTACGCTTTGCAACCATAACAGGGTGGACATCGACGCATGCATCCAAGCCGCCTGGAAGAAGTTTGGGTTGTTCAAGCAGGAATTGCTGTGTCGGTCATATCCATTGCGCAACAGATTCCGACTTTTAAATGGCGTCGTGACACCTACAATTTTGTACGGATGTGCACCATGGACTATGATAGCTGCTCTGGAACATCTTGTGGTGGCAACCCAAAGCCGGATGTTACGGATGATCTTAGGTTTGCCACGGAGACGAATGACCAATACCAGCGACAGCAGCACGAAAGGCAACGGATTCGGCTTGGAATCTTGGCTGGATTGGGCCCGACGCGCCACTCACAGTTCAGAGCAAGCGTTCGCACATTTGGGTTTTGAGTTGTGGGTTGACATTCAGAGACCCAGGACATTAGAATGGGCTCAGAGGGTCTCCAATTGCAGCCCAGATCGATGGAGTTACGAAGCGCATCGCTGGGACCCACAGGTTTGCCAACTCGCAACACGGCGTCCACACGGGCCTCGGAAACGATGGGCTGATGCACTCTGAGGGACTACGGCCCCGCCGCCGACCTCTGTAGGAGGCGCTCCGGGCGCGCGCACGGAACGGCATCGGCGCTCGCCTCGCCTCGCCTCGCCTCCCCCCGACGACGGGAGAGTGCTCTCTCACCCCCGACGGGGAAGGATGAATAGAAAAGGCGTCCCGTCGACGGGACCAGACAGACACCCCACACGCGCCGAGAACGAGGGGAAGGGGGACCAGGAGGGGGCGGAGGAGGAGGAGAAAGGATTCGATTTGGATTGAATTAGATTGACATAAGGGTTGCACTTGGACATGGCGAGGAGGAGGGGGGAAATATTTCATTCGATTTGAGTGGATCCAGATAGGAGCCCAATACTATTGGAAAGGAGAGCAGACGGGGAAGGGAGGAGGAGGAGGGGGATGAGGAGGAGAAAAACACCGGTCAAGAATTGAACGCGACTGACAGAAGGATTCGCTACGAAAGGGCGAGGGGGAGAGGGAGGGAGGCTGATGTTCGATTTGAATGGGATCCATGCAGAAGTTCAATCACAACGGAAAGGGAGGAAGAGGGGAAAGGAGGAGGAGGACAGGAACACATACATTTCATGGGATTTCAGTAGAAATGAGATAATGACAATTATTCCGTTGATTCCATGACCTTTGGAAACACAATATTCTGTATTCCGGAAGCTAAGACAACATGTGTGGTTATATGATCACTTGTAAATCGCATTCAAAACCAATGGCAGCATAAGGTCTTGAGCCCCTGAAGTTGGATTTCCATGTGGAGACACAAGGTGTTGCAGTGCCCGCGTCAAACAATATGGTTTGCATAAGAAACCATCAGAAGGGGCACCGAAACTTGTGAACATACAAATGTGTGTTGTTCAAGGTCTCTCGAAACGATCATATGCATTGTCTTTGTTTGTTTTCCTGTTAAAGACACACGAAGCACTGCTATATGTCGTCTATGTTGTCGTCTCTATGTTGCATTCTGTGACCACGAACTTTGTCGAGTCAGCAAGCAGCGCCGTCTGGACTGCAGCCATGCTGCCACCAAAGCCTCGATACAGCCTTGTGTCTGTTGTCTTCCGTTTTCGAGATTTCAATAAAGCCGCGTTTGTTTTGCAGTTCTCTTCGAAATGAAAAAGACATGCGCCAGAATGTGTTATTTAGATATTAACAGCGGAAATACAAACACACAGTGCTTTATGTATTGATAATTTGGGGTGAGATCTCAAGGTGCGTTTATGC